TATTCATAAGTATGAATACAAGTTTTCATTGGGTTTCAAGTTTAAAGTTTAGGTTTGCACCGTGCGAGGAATCGAACCCACGACCATCGGATGTAAAGGGGTGTGCTAAACAGCTAGATCACCGAGGCCGTCAGCCGGCCGTCTGTGACAACATGTTCAAGTTCTAAATGTGGATGGAATAGTGTTATGTTTACGTTTTATTATATGGAAGAGAGTGGCATTAAACATAGCTCCTACGTGTGCTAACTGGTCACCATAACGATGATGACTTTGACATAATAGAAAAGAAGAGAACCAAGCGGAATCATTTTGGCACTGCATCCACTGGACTAAACTTCATGCTGCGTGCTGTTACAGGAACCACGCAAAATACTTAGTACTTATTTGCCTGCACTACACTGCCAAGGAGTAGGACATTGTCAACTAGACCTAGAGTAATCTGACATTGAGGTGTATAGCAGTTTTATTTCCGATTACTACAACAATTTCTATTTTCCTTAACTTTATCCTGTTACTTCGGGTCGGCGCAGTATATCAACTTCTTCCACCGATCTCTATTGGCCGTTATATCTGAGCTTACTCTCCTTTTATACATATCATCCTTCACACATTCTTTCTTATCTTTTCCTTCTTTCTTATCCTCTCCATTTCTATCAATTCAAGTGTATGTTAAATACTTTCTTTAAGACATGTTTGTCGTTCCGCATAATTTGTATACATATATATTCTTTATTATCTATTTTTAGTATTATTGTTTCTAACACAAGTAAGCTAAAGATTTCCATGCACACGCCTCTGTACAGTTTCTCTCTGATAATTAATGTATTGCATCGTCTATTTAGATGTATCTCTGTGAAACGCGGAGCCTTGAGAACGTGTATAAATTACTTATCAACTAACTTGTACATAAGTTACGATAGTGATATATGAGCCAACTTGCTTTGCTCACGGTTTTGTTAAATAATAAATTACTACCTAATTATCTACACGTTTTGAAAGTTTGTAGTTGTAGCATGAATATAAAATCAGGTTAGTTAGCCTATGGTGATGATTAATTCAGAATGCGATGGTTAAGATACGATAATTTCCAGAAATGGACATAGGGAGGTACATTTCTAGCAATGAGATCAATTCCCTCCCGCAAAATCAACCGGAATAGTTATTGCAATTGTTAGAATATAAAACAACAGAATATTAATAAAAAAAGTAATAGAAAGAATGTTATAGAATGGAATAGAATTCTAAATATATCATTAATAGCAGTAATATCATAATCAGCATTTGATATTACTGCTATTAATGATACATTATCTTTTTTATTCTACTGACATATTTCAGGATCAAGTATAACCTAGGAATATGTGTAGAAAAATAGTTTGGCCTTTCTTTGTTGGTTAAAAGTTTGTTTAAATAATACTAACCAAGTTTATAATTTTATGTGTATACAAATGTAAATTAAATAAAACAAATCATTCATAGCAACTTAGTATTTGTATGAACAAGTACTAAGTTGTTAGAGTTAGAGTATAGAATATGTGTCAGGTATCATAAAATAATAATAAGTGTTTCACATTTTCAGTCGTATTTGCAGGCCAATTTCTACATGTTGCATCCATTAATATGAACGAGGTGTATGAATATGACAATTATTTATATTTATACCAAGATATATACATGTATGTATATATTTTTTAAAAAATAACCTTCGTTGGGTACTTCTATCTCATCTGTTTTAGAGCAAAGCAACTTATTTTGTACATAATCTGTAGAGCTGTTCATGTATATAGACGATGGATACCACTTATCATTTGGTGGACTGTTACCTTGTTTGCTATTCCAGCTACATAAAAAAAATACGAATGAGCTACATAAAATTAATGGTTCGATACTTGGAAAGTGGTCTCGCATTTATTGCATCCAGTTCTTTATAAATTAAAACGTACACCGAATAGAAAATAATATGGAAAGATTTTGTGTTCGGTAAATATCTAGAAACCATTATTTATGACGAAGCAGATGGCGGTGGCGCACTTCGTTACTGCATATGTGGAGCCAATACAAACAGCCACGAAATTTATGTGAAAGATGCGGTCTGTGCAAGTTACACATTTCTCTGTGTTTATACACTGTGCCTGTTATATATGGTATGCACTACGTGGCTGTTAATTGTATTATATAATGGAATACAAATTAGGAGCTTCAATTATGAATGTATATGTAAGGTTTAATAGTGTTCATGAATATTTAGTTTCTTTATATATGGACAAGTTTATGTGAGGGATGCGGTCTGTGCAAGTTACACATTTCTGTGTTTATACACTTGTGCCTGTTATATAAACACTACGCGGCAATTAATAGGTATATTTTAGAGATAAAACATAAGCATGTCTTCTAGTATATCTTTTAAAGAGATAGATATACGTTGCACTTCGATTCTAATGAAATATTATAATTACTCTAGTCTTTATTAATAGATACCAACTACAAACTATATATATTACTATATACTATACACTTATAGGCATATATAACTAGAGAGCTTTCAGTAAATTCAGGATATATCTTAGATAGCAAATTCTCTCAAGTTTATAAAATCTGTGAGTAAATACATCTATCAGAGAGTTAGCATAATGAATTCCATCGGGATTCCAAGTGTTTCATGCTGCCGAGTGAAAATTTAATGTGATTAAAGGCAAACTTTGAACATGCGAATAGGTGGCCATATGTGCAAAATGTTATTTTGCACCACTCCGTGTTTGATTTATGGTTCAAAATGCATCGATATGATTAACGGGATTGAACGGAAAATGTAGTTTTGATTGAAATGCTGGTCAGAGTTTCGATTTATCGATGTACGCACATTATTAATGATGTTTGTAGAAGTTTTATTTACCTATAACGTCGGCATGTTATTCATATCTTTACTAATATACAAATATGAAGAGTATGTTCCTTTGAAAGTGCTAATCTTTAGAATTAAGTCAGAAAATATATTCTATTAAAATTTTTCTATTTCATAACATAATTCTTAGGTTATGTATTACAAAATATCATGCTACGTCCTTTAGAAGCCGAGGAATATAATATACCAAGCGATGTGGTTTTTATAAATTTGTACAACATAAAGTATATAGGGTTCTTAAACGTACAAAATATGCATAGAAACCACTCAATCGATTCAAACCCTACTCAAGATTACAAATGTTTGTGCCGTGCGGAGAATTGAACCCGCGATCATTGGAGGTAAGGCGACGTGCTAAGCTGCTTTGTCGTTTATTTGTAATTTATAAACTCGAAGTAGATAATTAGAAAATAAGAAGAAATTTGTACATTCTTCCAACTGTATAGTGACATTAGCGAGAAGTAAGTACATAATACATTTGAACTACATTTCCAACATCATCCAATACTGTAATAGTCAAAATTGAATATAACCAAGATCCCACTAGGGGGATAAAAGTGTAGTTTTAACTTAAAATTACGATCCCACCAACTTATTTATTTAGTGAAGTTTCAGGTTGATTTACGCGGCCCCACGTCCAACTTGAGTTACGATTGGTCCCACTTGATAAAGTTTTGGACGTAAAAACTATGGAGTACAGTCTGTTTAATTATACAGGGTTGATTTATTATGTGTAAGTTTTGTCTCCAAAGTAGGGATCTGGGACAGGTTATGACAATTAGCGAGTAAATTATGTGTATAATATAGAGAGAGCACTTGTTATGGGGAAAGTAAACTTTCTCTCTCTCTGAATTCACCACTCCGCGCGGAATTTGGATATATTCCGTCATATATATGTGTGTTTGTAAAGGTACATTATGTATCCATAAGTGATATCTTAATATACGCTAGTCGATATAACATAATGTAATTAAATGATGCGAGTATGTATAAGAATAAGTTATAACACCTATATATAATGTAATCAATTAATTGATAAACTACGGGAAGCCACGAGGAGCAGGAATTGCGAGAAAAAAAAATAAAACGCAAAAATGGCATGGACCTTCAGTCTACGGAAAATAAAGGCGTAAATTAAAAAAAAATGTCTAAAAAATTGATGTCATTATGTTTGACCGCGATAGAATCCTAAAGTACTGAACGGATTTTGATGAAATCTTATAATATGTATACTTGGTAGGACTGAGAATAAGCAGCTATCTATTTTTTATACCTTCCAGTCACAAGGGTGGCCTACCCTAAAATGTTCCTTACTTTTCTTCAGGTATTTTTTTAATGATTGGACATTAAAAATACTTATGACCCTAAATGTTTACCCTCCTACCATCAACCCCTATTTTTATAGCGATATTAATTTATATGGCAAAATACCGATTGCCGGTACAGCTATATGTACTTATATATGTAGGAAATATATTTTTAAGGGTACTCAAAGTATTCAGAGAAGGTATCATATGTGTTGTCTATACACACAACTATATTATACATATATATGTATAGTTCTGTGTATAGTTAACATACTCCAAAAGGTAAACATACAGCATTATTTGTCATTCTAGTGTAAGATATTGTAATTATATAACAATTAAATAATAAAAAAATCTATGTTCTCCCCTATATATAGAGGGTTAAAAAAGAATAGACTGTAAAGATATGTACATAGGATTAAAAATGAAATAAATTATTATACTTCAGACATTTATTACCATTTCGACATTAATTGCTATAAGGTCTATAACAAAACCTAAAACTATGTACTTGAAAGTTCATTCATTAGAAAGTATGTTTAGTTGATAAATTCATGTATAACATGAAGTAAGTGTTTTAATTTTTACTATTGGTAATATTATTTTATTAGTAAAGGTGTATTTACTTAATTCTCCCTGCCTACCCCGTAAGAGATCTGTCATGAAGATAGACGAATATATTTACATAGGTATACGTATTACTTAGGGAGAAACATTAATAAATAAGTAATTTGGTACATTAATGCTTTTTTTTACTATATGTTTCATTATTATCATTATTATTATTCATTTTGGTTGCATAAATGGAATCAATAGGATCGAATAAAGTAATGACTGATAATTTTAAATATATATATCTCCTCACTTTTTTCTTCTGGTTGTATTATACAGACTGTTGTTTTATGGTGATAGTATTAATTTGTTTGATTTATAAAATTAATACAATTGATTATTGAATTCTAACAACGATATATATTAATATGCAGATGTTTTTTTAAACTATTGTAAATGAAAAACATAATGACGACAAATTATCACTTTAAATTATATACATATAAAAATATTATAGACTAATTACATATATCACCAATTATACTATGAAATTTTAGCATACTATCACCTCAGTGGCCAGATGGTTTGGAATAGTGTTACTAACTTCCTAGAGTTTTCCTATTCTAATACCGGTATATGTAATTTGTTCGCCTGGTTGGTTTTTCTACATCCTGATATTAAAAAGGGGTGCTGCAACACGTTCTTACCTCATTAGGGAGAAACTCAAGCATAGTGTAAATATACCTTTACCGTTTGTATAAAGTGATGACAATAGATTAATTTTGGCAGTATTCATAATTACAATAAAAATTTGGCAAAATTATCTTACTTCTATATTGAATTGTCAGTCTTTTAATTAAGATAAATTAAATAAATTTACAAGACTTGTTACGTTTCTCAAACTAGGAATAATAATTTAATTCCTTTCAGCTAATAAAAAAAATCATCCGTATATTTTGAAATATATAGACTTATTGATATGCTTTAACTGTAGAATTAACAATTAAATGTAAATATTATAAAACTTTATTACATTATTTTTTATTAATTACTGTAAGACTGTTGTTATCTGTGGTGTGGTGTTCGGCAATGTCCTGTAACAAAATTTTAAATTAATAGATCTTTTATGGATTTTTAATTAAAGTACTATTTATAATAAAAGAAACTGCTGTATCATTTTTTATATAATTGGCCAGCAAGCTGACGGTTCCTTTTCTTAGGTATCCTTTTCTTAGATGAACAGCACTGCGGACATCACATTATCATATGATATCCGTAGTATAACTACTCATTCTAGAAAACTAAGATACTATGCCTCTCATCCTGTAGTTTCACTGCCTAATCTGCACCCTACAGGCGAAACGCAGTTTACAAAGCAAGTTTCTTGGCGGCAGAAATAGGCTAGACTGAGGTACACATGCAGACGACTTTTTACAGTCTATATAGACTGAATTATGAACAAAATAATAACACATTTATCTTCGAATAAAGCGTATTCATATAATCTGATCGGATTTCACTTGTGAAGTTCGTTTGATCATGTATTTTATATCACAGTAGTGGTAATCAGGCATACGGCCGATCTTATGGTATTTTTATACTACATATTTTATACTGCAATAGTGGCAATCATCCATATAGCCGATGTAAACTTGCAAGATGTAATTTACGAAGTGTTAAGTGTATATCATGATACAATATATGTATTCTAATGAAATCTGAAAGGAGACCTAATGAAATTTGGCGTGAACCTATACTATATCATGTGTTATAATAAAATCTATTTATCTTCACTACACCCTAAATTTCACTCACATGAAATAGTACCAAACAAATGCCCTTATGAGGACGGCCATAGGCTAAAAAATCAGTTGGCAGTCAGTACGGTTGGAATTCATCATCATCGCAAACGTTCACTGCTGGACATAGGCCTGGTTGGTATTACATACTATTTAGTCTTTTGATGATGTGAAATATAATCTTCGCCTCGTGACATGATACCAGTAAGTAAGTAATAAATTACCCTAAGTTCATAAATTTACTAGTACCAACCCTACAAATTACGCTACTAGTATCATGCCTAGTACTTTCTTCCGCGTGGTACAGTCTAAGTTCGAGTAAAATTTCATTAAGATCCTTTTAGTCGTAAAAAGCTAACTAATAAACAGACAAAAATAAAAAACACACTTTGGAATCAATACTAATAGTTAATAATCATAGATAGAATATAACTATAATCATCATCATCATCATCTCGGCTTGGAAGATGTCCACTGCCGGACAAAGGCCTCTCCCAAAGATCTCCACGACGATAGGTCCTACGGTGCTCGCATCCAATGCTTTCCAGCGATCTTGACCAGATCGGTCCATCTTCCTACGCTGCGTCTTCCGATCCGCGGTCGCCACTCGAAGACTTTACTGCCCCAACGGCCATCTACAAGCTATGTGCCCAGCCCATTGCCACTTCAGTTTTGCAATTATGACTACTATGTTAATAAACATAGATATTACTTACATTTTTTATATCGTAAAGTATATGCTAATTATTCATTTAGGTTGCAATTATGTTACGATATTTATCATTAATTATAAGTGTCTGAACTAGGCCACCCGACGCTAGGTCTCCGACGCGACAGTAGCCGTTCCTCCAGACATGATATAGTACGTAAGTAACAAATTACACTGCGTCTAATGTAAATACCTACTACTATATTATATTATGTGATAACAAACTACTGAGATAATTACTTATCATTATTATAAAGTACTAATTAACATCGACCTCGTCTGCCTTTTGAGATAAAAGATAAATAAAATGATAACGTACAGAGTAGATAATGATAGTCATAGACAGGAGTCTATGACTATCCTTTTACTACAATTCTTTTTGAAGTTACATTAAATTGTGTTTAGTCATGAAAATATTACATTTCCCAGAAGGCTATAGGCACCTCGAAAATTCAACACAAAATTTTATATTTAATAGAAATATGAACAATAGGCGACAGTATTCAATTTTTAGATGAAACGAAAATATTTTTTATAAAGTGGAATATTTCATATTTTTCTTTGTTCAGAAATTAAATATATGTTGCTATATATAAAAATTCTAAACAATGAAAAATCTAAACTTCGCACGCAGTGAATAATTATATCAGAAATAGGTTATCCAATCTAGTAATAGGCAAGCCTAATGCCATCTCTCGGATGGATGTTTGGTTCAATACTATCGGTGCTTTCATTACCGGAGAGTCAGTCATAAATTTAAATTAATACAACTCTATAAAAGTTTTTTGTTTTGCTATGACCCAGATATATTTATTTTATCGAACTTACGTCCTTTCGATAGAACCACTAGGCGACTGACGCTCCCATGTTATAATTATCCATAATAAAAATCAATATATTATTTTACAGTAAATGCCTCTTTTATTAATGACTAACTGTGCCCGCGGTTTCACCAGCATAAAATGTATAGTCTTAGTGTACTGATTTATTAACTATATTATTGTAAAGTTTCATAAAAATCCATTTGTAGTTTTTAGTAGTTTTTATGTGAAAGTGTAACAAACATCTATACTCACAAACATCGCATTTATAATATTAGTAATGTGTAGTTGATAGTTTGCTATATCAATTTGATTGAATAAGATATACATATATATAGAACCTTCTCTAGTGTTGATTATTATCTTGCGTTGCCAACTGGTTCCATTAAACTCCGGAGTCCAATTTAATTTTCGTAGCGATAGCGGAAAGCTACAAAATAATTCAGTATGAATCAACTAAATTTGTCCACTAGGGACAGAATTAGGAGAAATGTTATAAATTACAAATTAATGTGGAAAAACAAAAGTATACGAATTACAGTAAAAGATGCGAGTAAATCGTTAGCATTGGTATGGACATGTACTGGAATGAAGACCAGGTGACCTGACAAGTGATGGCTATTCTCGAACGCAAGCACGACAGAGGATGTGCACCGACCACCTGAACTTGAACCACCTAGCATCTTTTAACGAAGTCAGCCAGTCTAAACACTGGAGATGATGCAAAACCGCTAAGAGTTACGTAAAATTAGGAGGGCTAACACCAATAGAGAAATAGTCAGGAGAATGATGATGTGCAAAAATTAATCTAAAATGTCTTTATTCATATAGATCAACATCTATTACAAATTATTATGATATGTCAAATTTGCAGTCAGTTCGTGGTACTTTTGAGGTAAGAAGAATATACAAAAAACTCAGCTTTTATTCTTTTCGAATGAACTTGTACATAATTACAAAAATACGAAGATTCATTTTTAAATTCCATTAGGGAGAAGTGACCACAAGGAGAAATGACAGTGACCACAAGCATTTGTAATTTTATCAAAAGGAAATATTCAGTGGTCGTAACCCGAACAGATCAGGCCACAACACAAGCAGCACTCGTTCACGAGTATGACGGATGAGCCAACCATCTAATCTAAATCTACATATATACATATATATAATACAAATGTCGCAAAATCGCCATCCGCACATGGAAGATATAAACCTGGGAAAAACTATTATTAACTTAAAATTTTGTGTGTTTGTCATGAGTTTGTGAGCGATAATCTCAGAAATGGCTTCACTGAATTAGTTGACATTTTTAACAATTTTACAAAATCCTCAAAATAAGTTACCTCAGTCTCACCTATTTCAGACAACATGCAGTTTGCTTTGTAAGTTGTATTAAAGGGTGAACAAGACAGCGAAATTTCAGAGTATAGAGGAATAATAACTTAATCCTCAGGATTAGTGCATGAAGTGCATGATAGTCATCATATGACTACGTGATGACCGTAGTGATATATATGACATATGGCCAACAATTTATTAGCCATTCTATTTATCATTACATAGTATAAAACAAAGTCGTTGTCGCTGTCTGTCCGTCTCTATGTATGATTAAATCTTTAAAACTACGCAACGGATTTTGAAGCGGGTTTAATAATAGGAGTCATTCAAGTGGAAGGTTTATATATGTAATACATGTACACCCGTGCAAAGCCGGGGTGGGTGGCTAGTAAATAATAAAATAAATGGCAATTTAGAAATTTAATATCAATGTAAATCTATTTTTACCGTGATATAATAATAAATTCCAATTTAAATAAAATCCATATTTTTAAAAATGAAACAATAAAATTTCTGATTTTAAATTGGAATACCGATTTCTATTAAGTATGCGCAGTATTCGTAATGAAAATTTTATTCATACGGTTTTAAAAATTCAACGAGCATGTTGAAAATTACCATTACAATTTCAATATTGTAAAATATTTCAGGATTGTATTTTTTTTACACTAAGGCTTGTATATTAATAATAATAAAGAACCCTGAACAATTAGCACAGCGCCATCTAGTCTCACGGTAAGCAGAGATTGTGTTATGGGTACTAGACAACTGATATAAAGACTTTTTTGTAAATACATACATAATATCATCATATCACAGAAAACATGCAAACCGATACAAACAATTATTCTCGTGAATACAAATTAGCACCGTGCGAGGAATCAAACCTGCGACCATCGGAAGTAAAGCGGTGTGTTAAACCGCTAGACTACCGAGGTTGTTATAGTAGATTCGGCAAAAAACAATAGGGCAAAAATAGAAATAAGAATAAAATTTGCAGCGATGAATAATTATTTAAAACTTACTTCGTGGCATAGCTGACACTGTAGCTTTGGAAGTGCTGTCACTGTCGTCAGATTCTGAACGATTCTGGAAACTGGTTTCTGTTGACAATGGCATTAGGATTAATTCCATATATATCCATATATAACTCATAATAGACGAAGCACAATTAGTTATGATATTATTCTAAATTCAAATTACAAATAACAAAATTTGGTAATAAAATAAGTAGTGATCGATATTCTACCATAAGAAATATAATTTTAAGTTTAAATTTAATTACGTTTAATTATGTATACAAATATATAATCTATATGGATGTGTGTTATATGTTTTTTAAATATTGTATTATATGATATTATATATATTTTTAGCATTTGCAACAAGAAGGTATACAACAGTCAAGACTGAAATAGAGTTTCTTTCTCAGTTTTAACTGGTACAAATCTTTTACTAGGTACTGGGTAGTTTAGACCTCCTAAATTAACTACGTATAATTCGGATCAGTGGGATCTTCTATTATACCTAAAAGTACATAAATTCAATTCAAATTGAGTCAAGAAAGCTTGGGGATTAAAAGACACCATTACGTTATTTTATTTGTTAGTAATGATCAATCAATTAATCGTTCTTAATCTATTTGCTAGAGAGACCAGATTAACGGCAAAATCCCTAGATTCCAGAGCCAACTAAAATGGAAGAAGAAGATTCATTAATTTTATTAAATTAGACCAAGATTGATGGTGCAGGGAAGCGAGGATGAAACGGTACGCTACAATACCTCTTGTGAAAGTTCGTACTTTATCCTAATGTTGTAATACATTATTAATGATATTCTAACTAATATTGTAATTATCAAAGTAAGTTTGTTTGTTTGGTACGCTCTCATGCCTAATGGTTTAACAAATCAACGTAGATATATAGACAAATAAAAGTTTTATTTTTCTGAATTTACAATATTTACAATCATAGCCCTGCAAAACTCCTGTTGAGGTTTGTCTGCCAGCCACGTAGATCTCTCATATTTACCGAGCAGGTGGGTAGACATATATTATTTAGAAAGTATTTTAATTCACACACAAAAGACGATTTTACAATATCTAAATATATATAACACAAAGGTGACTGACGATCTATCAACGCACAGCCCAAACCACTGGATGGATCGGATTGAAATTTGGCATGCAGGTAGATGTTATGACGTAGGCATCCGATAAGAAAGGATTTTGATTAATTCTACCTCCAAAGGGATAAAATAGGGGTATATATACCTAATAAAAGTTTGTATGAAACTTTGTCAATTTAAAAACCGATCAGGCTGAGACATAAATGATGATGCATAAAGCTACTATGACGTAGACATCTCCTAGTTTATATATATACTAGCTGTGCCCAAAATTATATCCTTTGTGTTATTCTGATGTATAAGCTATATTACATTAAACTAAGAACTACTGAACAGATTTTGATTAAATTTTATAGTAATATGACTTATACATCAGAATAACACATAGGCTATAAATTTCAAGTGAGTGAAACCACGAGCTCAGCTACTAAATTATGTTTATATCAGTTGTTAGTACCCATAGTACAAGCTTTAGCTTAGTTTTGGTACAAGATGGCGCCGTTTGTATTGTCCGGGGCTATTATTATAATTGTTATTCTTCTTATAAATAATGTATTTAAAATGAATTGGATTACATATTGGATTGTAATAATTTATATTGGATTTTAGACCTTCCCACAAAATACGTAGGAGTTCTTATTGAGAGATCGCCCATTTGTTAAAAGAATGAACGAGGCGGGTGACTAAAATAGATATACTTGGAAATAACTAATAACCAACTCCTCGAATTTTATGGCTTATCTTTTTTAATTGGAGATTTGAGTAAGTCAAATTACTTTCATCAAGTATTAATCAAAGTTATGCTAACGTAAAAAATTAAATATATTTCAAGTTGCAGTATTTTATATTTAACTTAGCTAACTGATTTGACAGGTTCTTTGACTCGATCATACAAGTCAAGTCATTATCCTCTGGTGCTCGGGTAGAGTATATAAAAAAGTCTGCGAAATACACTATAGAATATACAATATATTATGTAATATTATGTTATCTGTGCTATATATATATACAGAATACACTATAGAAACATTTTTTTTTAATTACATACAGAATATTAAACAAAACACCAACATAAAGAGGTATACTCATGAATAACTATTTGTATCGCCTGAGAAGCGAACAAGTGACCGTTAGAAGTAAAGCTGTGTGCTAAACCGCTAGACCACCGTGTGCTAAAACTCTGGCCGGCATGGAATGTCAAAGTGAGACGCAACATTACATTTCTATAAGACAAATATGGGTATATACGATAAACATTAAACATTGAAATATTATTCGCGTACCCCATGAATATAAAATTTGAAGTTACGAAAAAACGGATCAACTGTGTATACATATATATAATATGGATATACGTAGTGGGTGCGTCTGTCCATCAAAAGGAATTTACCCTTTTTTTACAAGATCCCATGTCAAAGTATGCGTCTAAATACATGTGGGATCATTTTATAACATGTAGATACGTGCTTTGCTAAAGCAAACAGTCAGACCGAAAGATATATATAACACTAGCTGTGCCCGCGGTTTCACCCGCGTGAAAATAGCCCATATGTTATTCTGATGTATAAGCTATATTACTGTAAAGTTTTATGAAAGTCCGTTCAGTAGTTTTTGCGTGAAAGAGTAACAAACATCCATCTATACTCACAAACTTTTGCATTTATAATATTGATATGATAATAATAACACTGTACAATTCACACAGCGTTAAAATAAATAAATTTTACAAAATAAAAGTAGCTCAAGGTACTTCTCATTTTTGATGTAGATATGTACCGTAAGTACTTTCATATGCATTTAGTGAAAAGCTGTCAATTTAAAATTACAAATAGACACATTAATTATATTTAATTGTGTAGAAGATATATTATTCAATTATAAGATTATAAACAGCCGTTTATAAAGTAAAAGATTATTATATTACACACTTTAACTTTAGCATAAATACTTTAAATATCTGCTTTTACTTTAGCGTTATTACAGTTTTTTATATATGTACCATTACCAGTGTAATATAAATTTGAATGTCTATGAAATGTCGACAATGTATTCCCGGATAGCTTTTCAATCTTTTCAATTATGTCGCCTACGATTTGAATAGCGTCTGTTCAATAAAGATAATCTAATATCCTTCGGAAGCTACCCGTATTGTGAAATGCTGTGTGAATGACATTTTACTTGACATTTTTGAGTGAATCCTTAAGTAGATTTTGCGGTAGGTACTTAATAGTAATTTTTAGATCGCTAGGACATCAATACCAAGTGGCCAATCTGTAGGTTGATTATTATATATTTTAGGATACTCTTTGTTGAGTGCGCCCAGGACCTACATAATTTTGTCTTGTCTTTCCCTTTTTATAACCGAACTACACAACAAATACTAGAACTTCATCCTTACGTCATAGAAATTTCACATACTCGCAATTAGGGGGTTGCGTCGTCAAAGAGTTGGACACACTTCCAGCTTTCAGGAACACGAAAGCTGGAAATACAACTTCGGACTCTTCAAGCCTATGGTAAATAGATTTCTTTTGTATAAACACGCTATATCCTACGTCTTGCTATCATTTTCCACCATATAAGGTGGTTGATATGTACGGCGGTTGATATGACAATGAAAAATGACTTGGAATACTTGATGAAATTATGAGATGAATATGATAATATATGACGATCTATGTGATAATATGAAATATGATTTATTTATGGGGTTTGAGATGAATGATGGGAATCTGGACGAAGGACCATGAAGAATGTTGGGTAAAAAAGGGAAACTAAGGACCAACCTGGTTCGTGTAGTCCCCGCGTGCGGGACTTATTATACGCGTAGCCGTTTCACTTTAAACACGCACAACACTACGATGAATTTCACTGGATGATGTACTAATCAGATGATTGCGCGAAGATCGCGGCTGATGGTTCCGTTAACGTTGATTCGCGGATAATATGTTGATTTGCGTGTGCTCGACGCGACGTACAACGAACGACTCATTTTGTTGATGCTACCCCCAGATTTGGTGGATAAAAATAGGAGTAGGATTTAGGGTAGTAACATATTGCAAGTTGGCTAGAAATAAGTAGATTTATATCAACAATAAGGTAAGATTAAATCCAAACCCATTAAAAATAAACTAAAAATAATAAACTAAACTAAATACTCAATACTTAAACGTAATTAATAGGAACTGAGTGCGTCGCGGCCTACATGTTGTTTACCCTAACTTCTAATTAAATAGTCGCGAATCAAATCAAACTTAGCTGACATAAATAAAATCTTTAATTTATATTTCTGATTGAGTGTCCCGTGAAGGAAACACCGATAATGACACAAAAAATAATTGACACGTTTTATTTATATATGATCCGCGAAATGTCAAGTGTTATTGTTGTGTCACCATAACATCGAGATTGGCAATGCCTATGATTACTATATCGCGTCCGTAATTAAGATGATGATGATTTTATATATATATAATTATTTTATATGATTGAAATGGTAAATAAGCCGATCACGCATCTGGTTGTAACTGGCCTACATAAAGTTAAGAAAAGCACTATTTATTTATTTATAATCTTTTATTGCACTGTCATTAAAATTAAAGATACATAGAAAAATATAACAATACATTAAAGAAAGAAGAAGGTACAGAAGGCGTATAAGATCGCCTTCTGTACCTTCTTATCTCTAACACAACCGCATCCAGTATATCCATACTATATACGTCACGTCATCATTTGATACTAATGCATACCTAGCCCTGATGACTAAGATGTCGTGCCTCTTATCCTGTCATATCTCTACCTTATGTCCTCCTTCAACAGAACCACGGCTTACAAAGCTAAATGGTTGAAATAGGCGAGAGTGAGTTACCAAGACAAATGATAGATAGTGAAAAAGTAACAATACGTTCGAGTTCTTTAATAAATTAATGCATCAATGGCTACCATAAATTACTCTTGTAGAAATATATCCCTGTCGTATAAAATTATTTTTCTATTTTGGATCACTTTGAACCGTAGCAACATATTTTTAATTAGATAATTAGATAATTTGAATTATTTAATCATATCAGACATATAATGAGCCGTACCTACATATTAAATATATTTTTAATATTCCAATTTGTTGAAATTATAATATCTTAAATATTAAAATTTGGTTTTTGGATTTTTAAGACCAATAAAAAATATGACTATTCAAAAGTGCTTATATTAAGTAATGATTATTTCTATTTTTTCTATACTTCTGGTTTGTTCATCTGCGCATTTGTGCACGCTATTGTCAGAATTGGCTTAATACAGGTGGTTCTTCTCGTGAAACTGTAGAAAACATCTATTCATTCTCATAAATGTTGGCGTTGAAAAAATAAGTAATATATATAATTTATCTTTAATGCTTTAAATATTAAAGACGATATACTCGTAAAATAAGTTAATATCGCTTCCTTGAAGATTTATATATATAAATTTAATTTGCAAGGCCCTACAATGAAAACAAATTGCTGACGCGACGCAGTGAAATTCTAATCGAAATATTAAATTACAAATAGGTACGTTTAGGCGAGGAAACGTTAATTAAAAACATGATCCAAATACAAAACTAATTACGTGGACAGGGATATATTTGTGGCAGATTAATTTATGGTAGCAATTTGATGTATTAAATCTCTAAACAACACTGACAAAATTATACTTTCTTATTATTTAATCATATTTCTATTATTGTATTGCTGCGGACCCAGAGCATCGTGGCCAGGGAGAGATTGAGATATATATATATATTACGATTTACTAACATAGTTTTCAAGTTGTTTACTGACATAATATGGATGGATATCCGAATATAATACATAAAAAATAATAAGGTAAAATTTTAAGTGAAACCTTTTTTTAACAATTAACCACCTAAGTTCATTATACTTCAGCCACCAAAAAATTTTTGTAAGCTATTTTCCGGTTGATGATAAACTGAAAGTCCGCAGTGCTGTTCATGTATATAAAGAATTGTTTACTAATCCAATTACATGGTAAAAACAATACAATTTTAAGGAGTTGGAGACTCTGTAACGCGATCTTGAGACGTTGCCAATAGCGTTCGTAGTTCCTCTCGTCTCGAAAAGATCTTTTGAAAATTTCCACAGGACAAAAAAATAATAATATCAAAAAATATATATTAAATAACAAAGAAAAAAAAATCAACGTGGAATCTTAGTATCTTAAATTACAAATGAATAATGAAAATTTAAACATACCAGTATCAAATCTTGGTCTACTGGGCAGGCGGCTCGGCAGGTCTTGGTTGTCCACGTGATCAAAGGTACGAAAGCCCAAAGCGAACTCCGCGTATGGACTTATCTCGAACATTTCTATTGTAAAAAATACATATTGAGAATTCAACTTCCATGAATAATCTAACACGGAATTTGTTTGAATAATATAAAATGGAATTTTACGATTCGCATTTGGGATATTCTATTTTTATTGTGTTTTTAATTGTCAGGACACGGTTCATATGAAAGAGAATATTTGAAAAATATACAGGGTAGTAAAAGGGGTGAAAGTTCTAAATGATATAGCAGTGGTAAATTATATTTTAATAAAAAGTACTAGTAATATAAGTAAACCAATATACTATTGGCGAAGATTATTAATTGGCATAGGACAATTTGATATGACAAGTAACATGTAAAATTACACCTTCCTAAAATAAATAAATAATAAAAAACAAATTAATAATTATTGATATATTGAAGAATAAAAGTATACACACATATCTAGCTAAAAGACACACCGTCTTATCTTTAAAAGTTACAGGCTTCTTGTACCAGTACATTACATTGTCGGAATTTTTCCTGTAGGTTTTATAGCTCATTCATTTTCTTAATGGGATAAAGATTTGTGCGAAAATTTGCACTGCAAAAATGTGTTAAAACCACTGTATTATCTTTTATTTAGTCTTTAACAATTTTGTAGGTGAGCTATTAGCTTCTTTGCTATTCAAATGAAATAAAAAAATATCTTTATGATATCTTATCGGGGTTGACAGAGACAATCAACTACAAGTTGACTATCTTCTTGCATATTTATTGTTATAACTCGTCTAGAATAGAATTGAAAATTTTAAGATTCTAGTTTACTAGATTCCTACGAGCTTGAAAGACATATCATCTGAGTAAAGAGCGAGAGGTTCCCATTCAGATGACTTCGTCTTCTAGTACAGCAGGCGTAAGATATAACTTTAAATATGTAAATGTCAATAGTTGAGATGCGTGTTATTTGAGTTAGGAATATGTATCCAAAGTTTTGAACAAACATTTGTACCGTGTTGAGTGTCGATTTATACCAAAGTGATCAAAGTTTAAATGTATGAGTAAATTATTACGAGCCGAGAATTTAATTAGTATTGTGTATAATCTCTAATCATGTCTGCTAATTCTCTGCAAACATTTACGCATGTCGTGTCGACACTATATAACTGACCTTCTTGTAAGTGTATATGTTTACATCAACAAACATAATTATATACTTTATTTATGTGAAATGTAATGAAATGTATGGTATTTAAAATAGTACAGTTTATGATTGAAACTGTTGAAAGGTCTACAAATATTTCTTCAAATATTTGAAGGTATTTTTTATACCACAATAGTAGTAAATAAGCACATCTGATGATAATCGGTTACCGTCGCATATAGACGTTTAAAACAAAGTTGCGTTTACGTTGCAACGGTAGCTGATAGCGTCAAATGCCGTCAATATAATCGCATTATTGATAGATGACGTAATTCTGACTATGTGGCATACGAAAATTGTTGCGATCGAAGTTAGATAATTAGCCCACAGGTGTATCACGTGCGTGTTGCCGACCCTTCAAACCTATTTGGAATTTGGGTAAATATAAATATAAATAATCAGTTACTTACCATTTTTACTACTTTTCCTAGCGTGTACAGGTGACGTATAAATTCTAGGCGCATGCGCATATCTCTCCTTATGATCTGAATGCGATGCAACACTTTCATTCCTCGATTTTACTTCTTCAGCGATAGAATGACGATATTGAGATGAATAGGTTTGCCTGTTAAATCGTTGTTATATTTTTAGACTTAAGCATTGGATATCGTAAATAAATGTATAATATAATATTATGTATAACGCTTCTATATTTATAAATCGTTAACAATGAATGATAATCTAAAGATAAATAAAGCATCTATATACAACGCAATCTGTCATTTCGTTAGATGTAATTCTGTTAGAACTGACAAGAAACTCAGCTCAATAATACAGATACCTTTTTAAATTCAAACTTGGGAGAATAGAGTGATCACCAGTATGTTATTTAGGATTACAATGCAATTTATTCATACAAATTACAATAGTAGAGTGGATTTTTTAATATTCTTAAAATAATAAATAGTACACATACCTATGTCTCTTAATTAATATACAGAAGAAAGCTAGAAGACACACAACCAGTAGAATAGAGCTGCATATAATGACCAACATGTTCAGGTCGAATATTTCTGATGGTGGACCGATTTCCTCTACAACAAAAAGAAATACAATCTCAATATAGTCAGAAACTCTATTTGGCCTTATATCGGAGGTAAATACCTGATCTTTTGCCATGGTGTACAAATGATATGATATAATACAAATGACATACAAATATATAACAATAAATTTATTAATTTACACACACAAAATCCACAACACAAAGGGAAAATAGAATTGTCAATAAAGTTTTAAATAAATAAATAAATATACTTTATTGCACTTGTTACATTAATAAATAAAGACAATTATACAAAAATGAGAGCAAAGGTGGGCTTATCTCTGCAAGAGATTTCTTCCAGCCAACCTAACATATATGAGAGGATCAACGGCACTATAATATATACATATATATATGTATATATATAGGCACTATAATATAACGTTATATTCATATCCAATTAAAAGTGGATTTGAATATCTTAGTCTTCTGAAATGTCCACGTATGAGCGCTATCACAAGAGTTACAAGGTAACGAGACATTCGTAGTACTGTTCATGTATGTAGGTAACTGTTACCACTTACCATTAGGTGTTAGGTAGGTGCTATTTTGTCATTCAAATTACATTAGCAAAAACCATACTTCTGTTTTAAACAAATGTTATTATATTATAATTGCATTTAAATATATGCATTAAATAAATATCATTTAAGGCAAGATCTCGTAATGTCACTACCACATTTCTGAAATCTCATTTCTATGGAATAACTTATCTAATGGTAGTAGTTTTAGTATCTTTCTTTGACCCCTGACCGTCTAGTTTTAATATTTAAAGCCCGGATCTCGCGAGGGATTTGGTGCGATTTTATACTTCTCCACAGATAACTTCAGAAATATGTTTATAGAATATTCTTATTCCGTTCCAATAGAGTGCAATTTGCTGGAAATATGTTTATATTTCGCCTAGTCTGCCTTGAGTACACTAAATTATATCTGTCAAAACTGTACAGGAACCAAATGTTTTGCTCTGAGACGTAATTTATGATTCTGTTAGTGTTATTAATTTGTTTTATAATCCAGGACTACTGTTCCTTTATGAAGTAAGAGAATACATTATTTTATAAATTCATGTTACATAATTTAAACAATGGTAGTTTATTATTCAAAATATGTTTATTAAACTGTTAAAAACCTAACAACAAATAAACGTATTATAGTAGTTTTCTCTTTTTCTTTAAAGCTATATTATAAACTGACAATCTCCGACATCGCTGCATCTTTGAAAATAACAGATATCTTTAGCCCATCCTCGTGAGACAATTTAATTTAACGGCAAATTTTGTTAAAAACGTTTAGTCGTGAAAATTTATAAAACAAATAGAACTAACTAAATTATAATATTAGTGTGAATGTTAAAATAAATACGACAAAGTTTTCTAATTCACTCTCGTATTAGTAAAACGAACAAAGGAATAGAGTGACTGATTTTGGTAAAGTTTTTATTTTTTTTATTATACAAAAGTTATATTACAATGTTGTTTATAAAGTCTATATTACAACATAATTTAGTTAATAGTTTTCAAAGAGATGAAGTAACAATAATTTGCTGTAATTGGTTTACGTCTGATTAACTGCAAGTTGATTGTGTATTTATGATATTACTTGATCTTTACTTTAGTACAGTAGAAAACATATTAGCCTTTTGCGATGAATACTCTAAGAGAAATAGCCTTCACGCTTGCCTCAATATAGGCTAAACAATAATCCAAGCCACAACACGACTCAAAGTTAAATTAATGACGTCACTTTGTCAGCCCTTGAGTCTGTCAGGTTTGTAATAGCAAAAGTTTTGATGGCTAAATTATTAAGATGTACTATCGGATAATAAATGGAGACGGCAAAGATCTGGGGTAAATTGAGCCTTAATTCATGACATGAATTAGAATATCGACGTCACAGTTTGACATTTACAAGTTTTGCTGATTGAGTTACGGGTCATAGTGACAATGCTTTGACATTGGTGATGATGACAGGACTATATACTAGGATCCCCTGGTCGTATGGTCGGGCGGCGAAATAAAAATGCTCGGTTGTTATCTTGTACTTGGTAGGAAGGCACCTATCGGGTCGCTGTCTCGCCGGTGAATGCGGACCGCTGCTTTTTTTTTTTTTTTTTTTTTTCGGACTACTCTAATGCTGTTGGCCGTAGCTGGCCTTTACAGCTTCACCGGACGTTATGGGGCGAGTGCAGATGGCACTCCAAACCCGCGGAAGGACTTATGGAGCGGCTGAAGGCCAACTCCTGCCCGACGGATACGACTTTAGTCTGAGGGCACCACTAGAGGTTCGAACCTCGGCTCAGGCCGTCGTAATTTCGATCCCCGTTTGAATTGGACGGGGGATCGATCGGAGGGGCGCCCGGGGGCGCCGGTGTGGAGCGCCCGGGCGCGCGCAGGTGCCCGGTTGAATGCGCGATATTGTGTGTTTGAGGTCGTCGTCTTCGCCGGCGAGGACGGTGTCGTGTGTGTGTGTAAAAGTGTGGTCGGGGTGGAACGGGTGGGCCCGTGGGGAGGTTACCTGCCGTTATGGGGTCGTCGGGGTCAATGAGAACGTGCCTCGGGCGACGTTGTCGCGTATGTCGGATATTACTCCTCGGTGCGTAGTCGACCGCACTGACTATAAGCGGATTAGGGTGGGATTGGGCAGAGTCGAAGTAGCGTCGAGACGCTTCTTTCATAAACTGCTTGATGGAGGGCAGATTAAGATCGCGGTGGAGATCTACGCTGCGAACGAACCACGGCGCACCGGTGGCTCGACGCAGAAACCTATTCTGAATGACCTGCAGTTTGTTGATTAAGCAGTAGGGTATGTGGGCGAATACGGGACTAGCGTAGGTCATGATGGGACGGATGCAAGCCTTGTATAATGTCAGCTTGTTGCGAAGCGACATTTTACTGTGCTTGTTAATAAAAGGATAGAGTCGCCCTAGTATAAAGGCGGCTCGGTCGCGGACACGCTTGATGTGAGGACGAAACGTTAGTTTCCTATCTAGGGTGACGCCGAGATATTTCGTTTTCGAAACCCACGGGATGTTTTGGCCGAATAGTTCGATCGGATGATTCATAGAGTCGAATTCCCTGCTAAAGTACACTGCTGCACTTTTTTCGGGATTGACTTCTATGCGCCACCGACGGAACCATTCGCCCAGTATCGTTACGGCTTTCTGAAGCCGTCTGGCTATTGTCGCACGGGACTTGGCGGATGTAAAGAGAGCCGTGTCATCGGCAAACAGCGATATTTCGACTTTTAAGTCGGAGGATTTGGGGATGTCGTTGGTGTACAACGAGTAGAGCATCGGAGAGAGGACGGCGCCCTGAGGGACGCCGGCTCGTATGGGGTGCGGGTCGGATAACGCTCCGTTTATACGGTAGCGATAAGAGCGATTCGACAGGAAGTCTCGTACAATGAGTACTAGCCTGTCGGGGACACCTAACTGATGAAGCTTGTAAATCAAGCCGTTGTGCCAGACTTTATCGAAAGCCTTAGCCACATCGAAAAATAGGACGCCTGTACCGCCTTTGGGGGACTTGGTGGCGAAGTACAGAGTGTTTTTGTGAATGTGCTCCGTGATGCGGTGCACTTGATGGACGCATGAGTGTTTGGCTCGGAAACCAAACTGCTCATTGATGAGAAGGCCTTTGGAGTATATAAACTCCTTTAGGCGAGCGAGGAGGATTCGCTCGTACAGCTTGCCTATAGCCTTGAGGAGGCTGATAGGACGATAACTGGACGGGTCGGATTTATTTTTACCGGGCTTGGGGATGCCAATGACCACGGCTTCTTTCCAGCTGTCTGGAAATATAGCGTTGGACAGCGCCGCGTTAAAAATAGCGACGAGTAATAACAAAAGTTGGGATGGCAGACTTTTGACTAATCTATTCGATATGCCGTCTGAGCCGGGTGATTTTTTGATAGGTAGTTGTTTAACTAGCGTTTTGACCTCATCAAGCGTGACTGGTGAGAGGGATTCGGTGGGCGGGGTGGACGCGATGCGTTCGACTTCGGTGTCTATCTTCTCGAGATGACCTGCCTCGACTGGGAGCGTGCTGGGGGAGCATTGGGCTTCTAAGTTGGACGCTAGACACTCAGCCTTGTCTTCGTCGAAGAAGGCTATAGTGTTGTCGGGTCGGACTAGCGGGGGCATGTCGTTTGTCTGTTGGTCGGTTTTGAGAGATTTCGCTATGCGCCAGTACGCGGTGTGGCATGGCGTTATCTCTTCTAGGAGCTTGCCCCACCGGCCGTCCCGGATCTGCGCGATGCGCTCCTTAACGCTACGCTGTAAGGCACGCAGGCGCACCCGGTTCGGTTCGGAGGGGTAGCGATCGTACGCTCTAGTGGCTGCGTTCTTATCGCTTATTAACCTCCTTACGTCATCGGGGAGCTGCCAGCGACGGTCGTCCGTCGCCGGTACCTCCCTGGAGCAGTCCTTGACTGCCGACTGCAGGTGGTTAGTAAGCGAGTCGATCGCAATGAGAGTGTCCTCGGTGGACTCTATGACGTCGGGAATACGGTTTAGTATCGGTGTGTCGGTCGATTCGAGAGATTTCTCGAGTCGTTGCCAGTCTGTTATTGTTTTGGTTGGTAGTGGCGTGTCGGGCGGAGGGCCCAGAAGGAGGGTTACCGGTCGATGGTCCGAGTTAAGCTCGGCATGGACTTCTGGGGAGCTCACCCGTAGGGTTACGTTCCTCAGCAGTGCCATGTCCAGTATGTCGGGTCGGTGGTTCACGTTATGGGGATAATGAGTAGGGCGGAGCGGGGCGATTATCTCGAATTCGAGCGAGTCGGCTAGTCTGTCTAGTTTGTGGCCGTTTGTCGTTGTGGGTACTTTGATTATTATAATATGGGAGGTACTTAATTAGAATGATATTAGAAATAAAGCAGTCATAGCTCAGCACAGTTGTTTGATTGACGTCTCCTTTATACGAACATACATAACATGGCGCAGTCGGTCAAAAAGTAAATATTATACATATAGCTCTTAAACTTTGA